CCTCCCCAAAATCGCAAAACCACTGTTGTTTTTACTTCTTTCAGATCCAGTCCTGAAAAGAATGATACAATTTTAAAAAAAGATACAAAAAATAGAATAAATCAATTTCAGAATTCTAATAGTTTCTAACTTTTGTAGTTTAAAAGGGGTCAAAAAGAAACTGACAAGCAGTGAAAACGGGACACCGTTTCCTTCAAAGCGAGAATTGGTGACAAAACAAAAATGTTTCCGATAAGTTTAATCGTAATTCAAGTTAAACCAATGAAAAATCACTTTAAATACTGTTTGAAGCAATAATACTCTTACCTTAAAAAGTTGCAATGGCATATAAAAACTCAGCAGGAAAACCAAGTTATCAAGTAAAAGTTTCACCGCCTTTTTACAAACCTGCCACTCAAAGCCATTCAACTGTCACGCTATCACGTCATTTGACGTTGATGGGCTTTTCTTATTGGCTGATTGAACTTTGAAATACGCGCCATTTTAGGGACTTTAGAAACACACAGGAACCCCGCTGCAGCTCGTCAAAAAGAAAACAAACAGCGAGGACAGGCAGATTACTTCTTTAATGCTAATATTTATATTTTTTGTTTTCAAGAAGTGCATGGATTATATATCCAAGGTGTCTGCAATGGGCTAAAAACTACTACTCTGCGAACAGAGCTACTTTTCTCACCCGCCCAGAAAGTAGCTCTGTTCGCAGAGTAAAAAATTATTACTCCTATCATTTAAAAAAATGTCATATTCAGGTTCCCTTCTTGCCGAGAACGCTCGCAAACAATCTTCCACATAAAAAGATTTTAATTCTTGCTAAGTCAATTTACATCAAAGTATATGGTTTTAAAACTAAGATCAATCCATTGACCACGTCCCAGCCTGTTTTAAGTGGTATAACGTTTCAAATGGATGAGAAACTGAATATGATATGATCCATAGCTAATAAAGTTTTTATTAAATACTTACAATAGTTTCTATGTTCACTTATGCTTAGTAAATTGCAGTTTAACAGGGTTATTGAAATCATTTAACCAATTATGCGGCCAGTAGTAGATTTAAGTACTAGTAAAAATATTAGTACAATTTGAAAACTTCAYCAATGTATTAAATACCAATACATTTTATTGGTGAAAATAATAAAACTGAGCGGAGTTATTTGATGAAGTTACATTAATCCTTCTACATATTTCCACATGATTTAAAATTATACAAAAATTATATRATATATACAGTGTACTAGCTTATGAATGCATCTAAGATGAGTGTATTCGCATTTGRCAATATTTTCGATTTCTTTGAAGATTTTACTCTCTTCTGAGATTTTCCAGCCTATGAAGATAAAGAAAATCATATGTAATATGRCAAAAACCATGGAGACACGTACCATTAACTGGTTGACTCAAAACAAAACAAACAAACAAAAAAATGGACATATCCGATAATATAGTAATGACATAGTTCTTTTTGAAAAGCATAGAAGGATATGGATGCAGTTTAGATATGGTACAGACACACTCTAAAAATGCAATTTTCTTTGAAGATTTTGCAAGGTTTATCAATGGGTTATATTATTACACTATCAATGAAATCAGTTCTTATCAGAAACATTCAAATAGGGCTTGAAAATAGACTTTTTTATTGTGTGTATATGAAATCCTGTGAAATATAATTTCATAAACAAACTTTTTACAGAACAATCCAAAGCACAGTGAAAACTTRCTTATACAGTCCCAATTAACTATAGTAGATACTGATAATATGAAACAAATGAAGGCTTGCTTTAAAGCTCTTCTTAAATGCTTACCTGGCCTGTAAATCTGCATCAGCATCAGCCATCGCAGGAACTTTAGCAGCGCCGGCTGCCTCTTTATTACCAACACCACTGGCAGTTGCTGGAATATCTGAGAGCTATAGACAAACAGATGTTGCAAATATTGTAATTTTTGAAGAAATATATCTTTATTTTAATCCAAAAGTGATAAACGTGGTGAAAATTGCTTTTGACAAAGTAAAAAGTCTTAAACTTTTTCTATTATTACAAGTAGAGTGCTCGCACTAAATGCATGAAATATAAATACTACAAAATAGGTGATAAATTATACAAATTCTTTTGTTTCCTATTGCATAATCAACACTATTTAGTAGTATTTGTTTCACGCTTTAAGTGCGAGCACTCTAATATTAGCTGTCAATATTATTTTAATTAAAACTATTTTATTATTTTAATTAAAACTATTTTAGTTAAAATTATTTCAAAACACATTACCTCTTCTGTTAGCTGAAGTCCAAGTTCATCAAACACTTGAGCTACTAGTTTGTCACTAGTAAAAGGAGAAAGCATTAATGTCAAATATATCCAAACTTATTGACTCATTCATAAAGCAATATGCACATTATACACTTATTAGTGTACCTCTCTTCGTCATCCTCTTCATCACCTATGACATCATCAATGGCATCATTCATCATTTCCTCTTTCATGTCCATCATTTCACTCTAAATATATAAATAATCTATTGTTTTTCCAATATTCAATTAACTTTTTGTTTACAWGACGATTTACCTGTTTTTCAAATTCCATCATTATCTTTTGAATTTGTGGAAGTTTAAGTTGTCTGTTCATTGTTGCCATTGCCTAAAAGATATATTTAAATGTTTAACACTGTCTTACAGTATATCATAATATACAGCCTTTNTATGAACTGCAAAAATAGTAAAATACACTATTCTAAAACCAAATTAGTCAGCAAAATTCAGTTTTCCAGTAAACATTCCTGAAATGTTACTAGGAGGTCACGGCTTTTTGATTTGCTCTGTAATTCTCAAGTGTTGTAGAAGATTTTCAGCACCAAAGACCATAGAAAAATGAGCAGGAGACTGCGAATGCACACCTTAAATCACCAGCCCTGACTGGCTACATTTTGTTTAGAATTACTTACCTTAGTAACACCTTTCATTGCTTGAGCCATAGCATTATTTGATCTTAAAGTCTAAAAAGATTGACATTCTATTATTTGAAAGWTAAAACAACTTTCAATAATAATTTATGTTGGATTCTACAACCATGATGGACTGTAACTGTGAAAGGGACTATGGTTACACTGTTTGACATATCWTGCGTGCAAAAAGAGACTAAATCGAATGTTTACCACAGGTTATCTTACAGACAGTATAGTTATTATTTCTCATCAAATAGCCAAATTCATGACTCCTTTCATTTGTGCAATCTCTGTGCGACAATTGGCCTTCACCATTTTGTCTGACAACCTTTTTCGAAATAGGTATACATCAACCTGATGGCCATGTCAAAGCCACTGTACATGTAATTTTCATGTGCTTACTTGTATCTTTAAAGAAACTGCTTGAATATTGGCCCTCATTAATATAAACTTTTTCACATATCTTCTGGTCCTAACAAGATCTTTGGCCATGATTTTAACAGCATCCTATAARAGTCAATATCATTGAATATTGTGATAGAAGTAATTTAAAGAAACATTGCAGGACAACAGCAACTACTTGACAATATATAATAGACTCCTTTGTAGTTCCGTGTTGCATCTGGAAAAGTACTGTAGCTATGTACACTTCCATTGAATTGAGAAGAGAGGAAGGATTTAAGTTACTGAGCGGCAGTTTCAGTATATATTTGGCCATATTTTTTGTGGTATACCAGCACCCAGATCCCTCATACCCTCCCTATAAGAAGACTAGTGAGCATGCAATGATAGAAACCTGTGAAAAATAGTTGTGAAAGAAGGCTTCCATCAATGTATGTATTCAGGTCATCTTATTGTTTTGCTACCCATTGAGAACATTCAGAAAGCACTATTTTAAGCAACTTTGCTTTGTTTGTGTGCTTTCTATTCATATTCACTCTTGGCTTCCCCTGTTCAATTTTGCCTGATCCAGTGCAACTCAGGTGTGTGTTGTTGCCTACCTTACATCTTATAGGTTAAGGATGTTTTGAATATTTACAGTGGATTTAAATATCGTTCAACTGCACACGAATTTCTCTCTCCTCTCTTCCTTGACTATTATGACTTCATAGCAAATGTTTGTAATATTATAACAGTCCTACCATTTGACCCAACTTTGCCATCTTTTTGATATCAGCAATGACTTTTTTCTCCTGAGCTTCCATTTTCGCTCGTTCTCTATCCAAATCTCTACACGAATACAAGACATGATTTTAAGCTAAAAGCCTGTTTAAGTTGTTAGATATCTTCGCTTTACATAAAACAATGCAGGATTCTAAAGTACAAAGCACGCAAATTCAATTTATGTTACAAAACAAAACGTAAGCTTAAATATATACATCTATAAGCTTAAGTTTATAACAAGATGGCGGTTTCTTTTCGTACCTCATTGCTCGATTCAACGCTCGCTGATTTTGTTTTAACATTTCTTCGGGAGTTTTCTTCCTCCCAAATAAGAATTCGAGTGGCATCTTGGTATGGTAGAAGATTTACAAGCGCAAAAATAAGAGATAAGTCCACTTTGAGCGGAATAAAAACTGACTTTCAACTACAACACATACACTATAAATAGAAAGGTTCGTCATTGCGTCACGAAATGATCGCAGGCTCAAAAATAGGAAAATGACGTCACAGCCAAAACGTCAAAGAAAAATACACAGGAAGCCCACGAAATTGAATGAAGTTTTTTATACAACTCTATATCGATCTGTCTACAAAAGAAAAATGAATAAGTAAAAAAATGAGAATAGAAAAAAGGAACGAAAACGAGTTACCCCTATCGCGCTTTAAAAAAACCTGGACTTTGGGTTAGCTCACAGCTTAGCTCCCATATTGAACAGACGCCCTTTCTTCTTAAACCCAATAAACGTATTATTATATGGGCTTGTTTTGGATTTACATCTAATTGTAAAAACGTTTACCACTTAAGGAAATGCTAACAAATAGCGGCTATTTGACAATTTGTCAGTCAAGATAAATCAACATTAATTCATCTTGATTGCGTTCTGTTTCATTGATACTGACAAATTGTGTCTAAATTCGTTCTGTGGAAAAGGAATACATTACAAAAATGAAAAACGTTCAGCCTGATATTTTTTCTTTCTAATTATTCCTATTGCACTAAAGTATAAAAATTCCATTAACTTTCGTTAGCTTTTTTTCCCGATTGCAATAAAAAAATTCCAATTTGCTTTTGTTCTTTTCGCGTTCAGCAATCCAGGCTTTGAGGTGTGTAGTGGAGGTTTATCCGCCGAAAATCTTCCCTCGATAACCTGGCGAATAAAGAAGACAAGTCTTGCGTAATCCTAGTTTCTCTATCGGCTCTCAAATCACAAGGCAATTTCTTCCACATGGCAACAGTCGCTTTTTCACTGAGCCGTTTTTTATATTAAAAAAAAACCTAAGCCACTACCAGAACCTTTTGACCAGCTTGGAAAAAAATCTAATAGCTTTCCTATCTGAAGCAGTCTTCACCGCCGAGACTCTGAATATCAACTTAAAGAATTAAAGAAGCCAATACGGTAATGAAACAGCAATATCAGAATAGGCAGTTTGTAAACAACCGAACTCCGAAAGTTTGAACATTAGTATAGGGCTACTTGGATGGAAAATGGTGAAACACTGGAAAAGGCACGAAATTCTTGTAGACTCATCAATAAAGATCCTATAATCACGAAGCAATGTATTTTTACAAAATATCGATACAATTTCTTAGTAATTTGGTAAAAGATTTTGGAGTATATGACGTCATATTCTCCATCCTTTTGTTCTATCTTCGTTTGAGTAAAAAAAATTTCTGCTTTGGAATGACTCCATAACAAAACTTTTCTCTGACAAAGTAATATAGGTATATAGGGTTTTTTTTTTTTTGAGATGTAAATATGAGTTATATATTTGAATTACGCAGGGTTCTGAAATTAGTGCAGTTCTTCATGCAAGTAGCACTCTTTATTTAACAAAATAAATAAGACTCAGCCGTGGTTTATACTCTGATAAACGCACGCTTGGCATTTGAAACACACGATAAAATGTCAAGAAGCACGAGCTGCAAGCGATTTTTTTATTTTATTTTATAAAATTTTTGATATACAACGCGCGCTCTGATTGTCGGACGACCGTGTTTATATCAGAGGACAGAGACACGGCTTACCGGCAAGAATGTCTTTTCGCTCGAAAAATTTTATAAAAGAAATATAAAACGGCGCGCGTGTCTCTGTCCTCTGATATAAACACGGTGAGAGTTCGAAAAACACGAGAGAAGTAAGCTTAGGAACACGAGCGTAGCGCATTACGCGTTCTTGGATTAGTCAATATTACGCGCGCTCTAATTGTTCAGAACAATTCAAATTCCGTGTCTTTTTATTCAACCATTTCAATGAAATTACGCGCGCTTGGAAATGTCTAGATGGAAATATAATATAAAACAAATTGATTCCAATTGTGCGTCTGTAGTACTCTAATAGATTCACTGCATGAAGACGTCACAAAATGTGATGAAAACAATAGTCACACATGCATTTTGACGTCATCTATGTCTCTATTAGAGTATAGACGCCGAGAAAAATGGAATCTATTTGTTAAATGATTAAGTATATAACCAATTACTGATCGCTGAACAAGGGGTTCTGATGTAATTAAGGTTTATTGCAATCAAACAAACGAATTCTGTTAAATGGCAACATCCTAAATGCGTGGTATGTTTTCTTTCGTGTCGGTCTAATATGACTCCATATTATCGCACAAATAAATCTGTGTTGGCAATGGTGTGTACTCCTACACAGGGTAATATCCCTAGAGTCGATGTCATTTGCGTCGATGCATAAACATTAGACGCCCATTTCCTCTCAATTTAGCAAACTAATGGTCAATCCAATGAACAAGCATCAGTCGCGGCAGTGATAAAAGAAATTGCTAGACGTTAAAGATCACGGTTAAAAATACTAGCACTACTTCTAAGCCTTCTATAAAAAAAAGGCCATACCCTTAGAATGCACTTCATAATAGGATCACTGTCGTCTTTTATTAGTATAAGCAAAGCTTTTAAATGCTTTAATTATTAAGAAGTAAGTGTATGGACAAACCGGTTGTGGCTTAATAGGCTGCAAGATCTTTAAGAAAACATGGATGAAATTAAAGGAAGTTATATTCGATAAACTAACAAACATGAGAGACGTCGTAAACATTCTCAGACTGATCAACAACTTTAAGTTGTCCTCAAAAGGAACGAGAACCTTCATGTAAACATGTTGTTCCCACTAAATTTTGAATTTGTATAATTTGTTTTCGATATATGTAATCAACACATTGCACAGCTTATCTTGAGCATCAGCTTTCAATTTCAAAAATCGTTATCCGTAGTTTTGGTTAAAAAAACATCCAGTCTAGTTTCAAACATCCAGAAAGCAGTTAAAAAAAACATCTGTTTTGTTGCACATATTGCAGCAAAATATATTTAAATGAAATTCGCGCGCTTCATATGCTCGTGTCGCGCTTCCGGTATGCAGATATAAAAACTGATTGCTTCAAGACTCAGTGTACGCAGTTCATTAAACCAGCCGGCCGACTTGGACCAGCTGCATTGCAACAATTCGCTCGCCCATCATTATTCTTAACAAAAGTGATATGTACAACAAAAATTCATCTACGATTGTCAACAGAACTAATTTGTCTGCGACGTCGTTGTTGATTCCATCAGTGGACAATAACTTCAGCAGAGTTCTAGTAGAAATCGTCTACGTTGTGATTTTTGTTTTAGGAACAGTTGGCAACGTCGCGATGATTTTTCTTCTGAGACGAAGAAGTCGTCGCAGGAGACAATCACCAAGCAATCGTCTTCTTGTGCATGTTGTAATATCAGAGATGTCGGTCTTGCTGTTGAACATACCGATTGACATTGCGCTCATCCATGTGGGACATAGATGGATCTTTGGGCCAACAATGTGTAAAATTCTTTGGCCACTGCAAACTCTGTCTTTTGGCTCTTTTGTATGGATTCTGACTTTGTTGAGTTATCAGCGTTATCGAGGCATTGTGTGTCCATTAGAAGGTAAGCTATCTACCAAACGCGTTAATAGCATGGTGTCAATCGTATGGCTGTTTTCTCTGGTTGTGGTGATCCCTTATGGAGCGTTTCTAGACTACCAAGGTGATGACTGCATTGAGACTTGGAACCAGTTTACAAGAAAATGCTTCACTGTCATTTTCTTTATCGTTCAATATGCGTTACCTCTTGCCATCACTCTGTACTGTTACGTAAAGATAGCCATAGTCGTACGCAAGGGACATACAAACGTAAGACGCCATATCTCAGGATCAATTCAAGCTGAATCAAGGCACAAGCAACGCAACTTTAGCGCTATTCGCACAGCAGTCTTGTTCACGGTGATATTTGCAGTGTGCATGTTCCCTCATCAAGCTCTATGGCTGTGGCTGGAATTTGGCAATTACCAAGGTGACATTCGACATGTGTTAACCTTTGCTTACATGTTTACGTTTACATCTGTGTTTATGAATCCACTGGTTTATATTCTCAGTACGCCGTCTGTTAGGAAGGAATTTTGCCTGAAAGCAAGTGTTCTTAGGATGGGCAGTTGCTCAGGTTCACACTTCGAAAGACGTTTCTTGAAGAAACGGTCTAGCACTAACTCAGGCACCGGAGAATCGATTGTTTAACAATAAATCCAATGGAAAATGACTTTTATTTAAAGATAAGGAAAGTCTCCACTTCTTTGTGAAGCGGACTTGAACATCTATACCACGTAGACGCGCCAAAAATCACAGACTGTTTTGTGGTTTTTCCAAACTGCGGTTTCGTTAATTCTAGCCTATTGGCTTCTTTGATTTCTAATCTGTACGAGTCATACAGATATTTTATCATCTATTTCTAAAAATGATTTTCTGTAACGATGTACCTGGAACACCTTTCCATTTGGATGCCCAACACGAAGGCACGCATCTTGATTTTACAGTGCTACTAGAGAAATTACTGTTAAAAATCTACAAATTAACCAAATTAATATTATGACATTTTAAACTCACTAATTAGTGAGAATTGATGAGGAAGCAAACTATATTGAGAAAAATAACAAAACGATTTTCTTCACAAACAGTATATATATCCGCTTGTGAATAAATGACTAAATGAACAAAAACAAACCGATTTTCTTGAATATTGGCCATGGYTTTGAAAATTTGCAAAACGTCTATAAAATCCAAAATTGATGGTGACTGCATGTGTCTTGTTTACATATGAAATWAAAATTTGCTATAAACGGGAAGCTTGAAGAACATTTATTAACGAGGGTAATTGATAACTCGCCTACGCCTCGTGGTAGTATCTTTCACTGAACGCCTCGGGTTAATATGACCTCTTTATGAACACAAACCAGAATAATAGAATGCGATTATTGCTTTCAATGAAATATTTCACCTACTAAGCTTATCGCCCCCGAATGGTCCTACGCAAATCGAATTGAACGCTCTTATGTCTTCGATTTTTCTCCCCTCGGGGGTATTAGCGTAGGAAGCGACGGGAAAGTGTCATCGATAAGGCCAAGTTGCATAACAAAAGGCTGTAGAGCTTACATAAGCAGCATGTGAAAACACCGGATTTGCATGAGTCCAATATATTGTATTCATAACCTTATTTCTGATACAAGAGTTCACGGTGGTATATGATCTTTGAATAACACATCCGTAGAGCTGAAAGTGCGCTATGGAAAGAAGCTGATCWTTAGTTGTCTATACTGAATTAGAAAATAAAGTAGAGTGTATGATTTCCTTTGCTATGGATACTAAGTACGTATTGCAGACATATTCCAGACAAAAAATAAAGAAATAAATAAAATAACGGATTAAAAAAAAAAACAGAGAAAAAAATGCGACCAAACTATATGGGTCTAGAGTACATATTATCAAAGTCCGAATAGAAATCAATCTGAGCTACGTCATTTAATTTATCACTAAAAGCACTCTACAGACCACGCCTATTAATATATCGATAACCAAAACTAGTAATACAACAGCACTTCAAAGAACATAAAGAACATGAGATAATGAAACACTTTGCCTAAATGAACCTCTCAAATTCTCTTAAAACAAAAAACAAAAAAAACACGCAAACAAAATTTAGAATCAATTGAATTTGAATCAAATTGCGTGGCGAGTACTTGATAAATCAAAAAAAACAATCAAATTGATTGAAATAACARCAAAAACACGGGAACTGAAAGATTTAATAATCATASACAGGAAGATAGCGCATTGAAGCTAGGTTTTATGATGATCGATGGTCAATTTGATACATGGCTCTTGACGTCATACCATTTAAATCTACATCCTTTTCGTGTCGTCTTTTCGTATATTTTTACTATGGAAGAGCATTCTTGAAAGATGAAATTGAACTATATTTATTGGTGCTTTTGACGCGCTATAAATCAGGAAAAAAGCTACTTCGTGGCCTTATTTTGAAGATATTCTTGTAGAAAAACTAGGAAACGTCACTGAGGGATATTAACATTAACATTTAATTAAAACAATTGATTAGAATTAGCTCAGAAAAAAAAACTAGCAGAGAGGAAAAAAAATGAAAAAAGATACAATTACAAATGTCGATTAGATTCTACAATACTTGCCAACAGATGGTATACGTTTTGCAGTAATATTTTATTTACCATCAATAATATATAATAACAATGAGCGCGCAGTACACTATAATAGATAATTACACATATCAATACATGTTCTACGTCGTCGCCGGGTCTCCTTAGCCAGTGGCTAATGCCTTATGTATCAGACAAGCTCGCACTCACGACCACTACATTGGTTGTTTAGCACATATCATTCCTCACAGGTAGTTTTTGACTGACTTAAACCAGCGTACCCGGAGAAAAACCCGCGGAGCAAGCTGGAAGAGAACCAGTCTACAAACTCAACAATCGCAAATRGTCACAGACCGGGAATCGAACCAGGACCACAGCGGTTTAACGATAGCGTTTTAATCATATTGAAAGAATATACATGTTGTCTATATTCATTTAATAATGACCCATTTGAAATACAGATACATATATATGGAATATATAGATCTAGATTTAATTACAAGTTATTGCCAGGTGAAACAGCTTACAKGTATAGGTACAAACAGAAAACATGTTATACATAAAAATGCAAAAGAAAAATGTCGTTAATTTAATAGTTACATCTCTTTACTGGCATTAGTTAGGATGTACACTTAATGGTAAAATGTTATCGGGTTCARAAAAATTACATCATCAAATCTACGACCGAAGAGGAGCAYGGGAGCGCAACTTYTCATAAAGACRCGCGTAGKGACAGTTTGCAATCCCATCATCCCCTTAAATCTTAATACACGAATGAAACCTTTTTGAACCTGACGTATTTTTTATAATTACACTATCTGATAATTTAAGTAGTGATAAGCAGAGAGGTTTATGATGCAGTAATTTATCACTATCACTGGAAAAAATCGCGCGCTTTAAAGGTTGTAAATTTGATGTATATATGATGTAAGTGTCAAAAATGATATAAATTTGATGTAAATCATTTTTATCAAATTTACATCATTTTGGACACTTACATCATATTTCCATCAAATTTACAACCTTTATGGCGCGCGATTTTTTCCAGTGTATACAGATTACATAAGTTCTAAAAGTTACTAACTTTGTAAATTTTGGGGAGTTTTTTTACATTATAACCCAGTATTAAATGTGGTTATCTCAATATTACTATGTATAATAGCAGAGGATATACAATATGCTTTAGCACTATAATTATAGAGAATATACAGTCTTCATAAAGTGTTTTTGTTTGTTTTGGTTAAATTCTTCCTTTTTCTAATCTTTTTGCCCTTTTATTAAGTGAACCTTACTTTAGAATTCAGTGCAAGAAAAGAAAAGTTCCAAAGTAATTGCAAAAAAGTTGAATCGATTAAATAGACAATGAAAAGCTTGAGTTAATCAATTGACGAGAGTTCAATTTTTTTTATTTGGCTCAATAATTTCTTTTTCTAATTATGTGTCAACGCTTTTGCAATTTGGTGTATTACTACTTTAATGTTGAGGATGTCAATTAAAGTTTTGTTTTGTTTTTTTAAAAAGTGTTGAGTTACAACAGCTTGAGGAAGTGCAGCAAATCATGCTTGTCAATGTCTTCTTTGAGGCCCTGTTTACATGAGATAGGGTACCGCTAAGTAGCAGAGCCAAACTCGTTTGTTTTTAATCCTCTTGGGTTCTTCTTGCCAGATAAAAGAGCTTGGCTCCACTACCTAGGGCACCCTATCTCATGCAAACAGGGCCTAACACTGGAAAAAATCGCGCGCTTTAAAGGTTGTAAATTTGGTGTAAATATATTAATGTAAGTGTCCAAAATTCTGTAAATTTAATGTATGGAAATCATTTACATCAAATTTACAACCTTTACAGCGCGCGATTTTTTCCAGTGTAAGAGAACCGCCGCCTATGCTCGCATTATAATCACTATCCMTCTTTTGTCTTGCTTTTGTTTGTTTCTTCCTCTTTCTTCCTCTATATTTTTCTCGTTCTTTTCTTATATAATATACATCAAGTCTTTGATACAACCGCATACAAGAGGTTGTTCGTGTAGCGTGATAAGACGAAAATCARAGAACCATCAGGTGTGAAAAAAATCTACTGACGTTATAATCCAGGAAATGTTCTTTTATCACATGGCTGTTCATTCTAATGTTAAAATAACAATCTAATTTCAACTCAACTTACTACTACTAATTTCTCCATAATTTCTCCATGTTATATTTCATTTAAGTGGCATATTTTTTGGTCCAATCTTTGGCTATCCTGTCGTGTTCTTCTCTGTTATTTTGATAYTGTGTGGCGATGCTTCCGACAAGAGGATCGGCTATAGTGGASAAAATGAAATTCAAAGTTCAAAATTATGTAGTATATTGGATAGCAGACGCACTTGTATGAAGTTGGCGTTTAGCTTGCGTCATATCTGGACATTTTTAAAGMGAGAAATAAAACCCAGGTGTGACGCAGTGTATTGACGTTATTGCRCATGCTCCTATCGATGATTCCCTTTCCCACATGGCTTGGTGTATCTTCTCGTATCTTATTCATGCGGTCTGAAAAATCTCACTCCACTAAAAACTCTCAATGTGACGAATGCGACTCAAGCTATTGACGTGATTGCACATGACCTCAAAAGATAGATCCCAAGCCTGCCATACATGGCCCAGTCACTAAATATTCTCTACCGTTATAACATTTCAAGTGTTTACAAACCTGGATTACAATCAGTAAGTAACGAGCCAATGGACAGCAAGACTTTGGAAATAGTTAGGGCTGGACTCCAGCTATCTTTCAATATGTCAAGACAGATAGCACCCTACAAACGTAAAATCATTTTAATACTCAAACACTTCATCAAATACTTAGCACTGACATTACCTAATACTAAAACACCGTAGCAAGTCTGCTTGTGTGTGCGTTAGATGAAGACGCGTGCGCGAGTACATTTTGTGCGCTTTGTTAAATGGATGTGCACTTGTAAAGCAATATAGTTGTCAAGGAGTCKTTTTAGGTGAGTCATCAGGACACTAGAGGTTGAGTCAAGCGCAGTAAGATCACTAAGATCACACTGATAGAGCGGATTTCGTATGACTGTGCAACGGCATGGATCACAACACGGGCACGGCAAGGGCACGGACCCTCGCCTTCTAGGACTCCAAATAAAAATAAAGACATCAGCGCTATGGCACGGTACGGTCACAGCGCGAAAGTACCGTGTTTTTTTTTTTTTTTTTTTTGCACAGTCATACGAAATCCGCTCTGCAAGCAGCGGGACTTACTTGGCTATTGATGTTACAGTGATATATTCTGGTACGGAACGAAACCTGAAAAGATCAAAGTACAATCAGCTATGTATTCTAGTAAATTGTTCCACACCAAATATTCCAGACTAAGAGAGTAGTTAACAGACGTATTCGCATGTAGAAACGGCTGTTCAAGTTACCAAAAACAAATCATTAATATCAAGTATCAATCTTTCGCGAATGAATTCAAGGCAGTCTCTTCTCCCGTGTCTTTCGCCTTATCTCCCTTTCCCCACCATTCAGTGTTGCATTTTTTCAAGTAATGACCTACAAATTTTACACTTGAGGACTAGAAACATTGTATTGGGGAGTGGAGAAGCAATGACTTCAATTTGTAAAGATATGAGTTCTTAATGATAACATAGTCTATGTTTAGCCCAGGCGACAACAAATTATGTCCGCCGTTTTAGTTACATACTCTTTCTTGATATATCTCGCTTTCAACAGTATACCTTATATTACAAAGACCCGGGCGACATTTCCGCACCGCCACCCTCCACCCCCACGCCCAAGAAGCAGCTCYTGAATTGCCTTACCTTTGGAGGTTTGAAAGGATARTCAGGAGGAAAATGAATGTCYAGGAAAAAGACTCCTTTGTCGTATACAGAACCTGGTGGACCGAAGATTGTAGCGTACCATTCGTACAGGTTATCACCCTTTGGTCCAGCGCTAAAAATACACAAAATATTAGATACTTCACAGTGAAGGTACTGTTTTGAAGAAAATTGATATCTAAAAATCAGATTTCTTTTCTTTTAGTTCCAGACTGCAAAGTTCTTTTCTTCTAGATTCGRGGACGGAACCAGGGTGTCAATCTGGGCTAAAATCAAAGGGGAGGTAGCCACTTCTTCGTCAYGYYATCGAGGGAAGGGGGTGCGTGTCTTAAAATGTTTTTAAAATAACTACAGTATTTAAGTGCGCACTGATTGGRTTGCAATGTGCAAWAGRTGCACTCAAAAGGTGTTTCTACGAGAACACAGAAACATAACCCTCCGGGGAAGGGTGGGGATTTTGGGGARAACACTRCTTGAAAATGTTTTGAACTCGCTTTCAGCTCGTGTTCTCCCGACAATTAACTCCGCATGGTTTCTAACAGAGAATGGTAAAACATCTCATTTTAATGCTTAATTACAATATTTAATATTGGTTGCTATTTGACAAAAACTGAATGTCAAACCAATCTTTAAAAACAAGACAAAGTGGTGTTATTTTGTGGTTTATATTTCTTGGTATTAAACATATCACTGTTTATTAAAAATATGAAAATGCAAAAATAAAACGAAATAGACGTTTGTGTAGCTGTATTGTTTTATTTTGATGTAATGGTTCAGTCCGGAAAAACGAAACGAAACAAAACAAAACAAAAAAGTTTATTTCGATTGCAAGCGGGTCAAAAAAAGTTCCTAATCGTCACATGACTTAGTCGACGTCCCGCAACGACATGTSTGAGTCACAAATCATGCGACCCCACTCAAATCACACAGGATTTCAATCCTAAATTTTATCGAAGAGATATCTATCGAATTTCAAGTATTTATTATGCTACRATGTACTCTTCGTGTGAAAATTAGCACAAACCTTCTTTATTGTTTTTAATTTCTGAAAATGATATTACTCCGGYCAAGATCAAAAGCGCTATGAAAATTAATAATATTCATACACATTTTATCAAAAAGCTACCGACTCTTTTTCTTTTCAGATTGAAAATTACTAAGCACCTAATTCAAAAACTAAAAAAAATCTAAATTTGAATTCAAACTCTAATTTTTTCATTTAAAAAATAATAGCACATGGGAAATTCAGGATATAGGTCTAGTACGAAGTACAATATACTCGTGCAGGTACAATATTGAGTTTAGATGCCTTTGGCATTAATCATAAGCTACATATAGAGAAAAGTTGATATAGTTATTATTGTTTTAATTCGTTTTTTCTGTAATTCAAGCTTAAATATTAAAAAAAAACTGGATATTAAAGGAGATTCTAGATCGCTCTGTTACATTTTCTGGGGTCGAARCCGATATTCTATTCACTTGACTTGCAATCAATCTCCGATAAATTGATSATTGTATAAAATGCCAACCTTTGATCGATGGCGCGTTGATTCTTTAGACCTTATTTGTGAATGACAGTTTAGATAATACAAAAGGAAAACAAAACTTTAAAGTATATAAACGCGATTAAGATCTCATACAAAATGCCTGAAAACTGACTTGKWGGATAGATTTTAGTTGGATTATTAATGCGATATGAAGTGATGAAGAAATAAAGTGAAAATGGAGCGATGAACAGCAGTTTAATAGTCCTATTTCTTCAACTAATTATTCTATGCATCTATCAACACTTGAAAAGTAAATAAAAACTTATCTATTTATTTAACTAACAAAATTTTCTAGTTTTGACCCCTATAAGTGCCTTTTTTTAGTGACGCGGTTTTGATGGTTCCGGTAATACTTCACCAAACGTAGAGAAAAAGTTGAAAAAAATCGACATCAAAAGARCAATTTCTTTAAAACAAATTGCGCATTTTTTTTTTCTCATCTTTTAAGCGAAATATTAGCATTTTAAGCCATGGAAATAGCTTACTTCTTTGATTTATAAAAAAACAAGTAATCTAAATACAACGCACATGACCTCGTCGCARCATACCATCAATTTCAGCGATGTCTTTCGTCAAATCACCCGTAAATCCTATCTACTTCTGCAGCGATGCAAATCGTCTAAAAGGTGAACAAACCCCTTCAATCTCAAAAACGTCTGTCTAAAGAATCCACAAGAMTTCAGAAGAGTCATTTTCCAGAGGTTGGCTTTTAAAGAGGCCAGGATTGGCTATTCACCGTCATAAACAGACTCCGAAATAGTCGAAATAATAACAACAATGCGCCATTTTTAAAACGTTCAAATAATTTCTGAAATTGAAAACAGATGTTCTGAGCGTGTCCTTCCTCTAAGCGCGTGTGATTTTATATACATTTAATTCTRCCAGGTTTTCTGCAACTCTTGTTTGTAAAATGCAAGCATTAAGCAAAGAAATGACCAAATATTTACATTTTACACTCTTAATGAATTACTTAGCGACAGTTTTTGCATAATTAAAAAAATATTCTAATTTCTTTGTGTGAAAGGAAAGAAAAACACAATGCTAYRTGAAAAAAGCCATTTACGTGGAGCTTCGAKATGYGCCGTAAATCTGAGCGGAGATTATTTTAAGGTGCAGCTACAGAACTGAAATTCACTTYTCTATATAAATCTGCTTTCAAGTCGTACAAATAACCATTTTAACAAATTAAACGATTGCTTTCCGTTTGGCGAAATCTTTAAAGCTAAAACCTTCGAGATTTACCGGTAGCGTTAAAAATGCATAATTACTGGAGTTTAGACTATATTCAGACGCTGGTATACAAACCACGTGTTTGAAAGAAATACTTATCACTTCGAGTTAATGAGCTACAGGTACTCATACTTTCTCTTATGTTGGCAGTTATCCTGCATCAGATCATGGATACCCAATGCAGAATAAATGAATAAACGAGTGTTTCTATCTCAGGCCGGCAGCTGGTTCTCTTCCTGATTCACTGAATGCTTATCGAGAAGTTCCACGGAAAAACTCCATTGTTTTAAGGGGTCTGACTTGCTTGATTTATCTTACCTGCAGTTTGGWGGTGGATCGAGAGTTACTTCACTAAGTTCTCGCTGAATTCTGGATAATAAATAAAAAATAAACAACAAATCAAAATCTTGTGATACGAATTACGACCACAAGATTTAATATTCGTCAGAATGTAAGCATTTCAATAGGRGAAAACAACTGAGCTCCTATCTTGAGCCGTAACTGACGATCGATTAGACTAACATTGATCAGTCTTATTCGTAAATATTATCCCTTGACATTCGCAGTTAATAGAATTATCGGCTTGATATGAAGAAATTAGCTTAGGTTCGACGGATTGCAAAGAAAAAGGCTTACAAAGTTAAAATGTAAATAGGTTTTGCGGTGAATTTCTAAGGCGACGTCGGCCGTGACCAGAGACTAAACTTTGAAACGAGCTTTTGTCCTTATTTCAAAAATATATTGGTTATTCACCCCTGAATATGAAATTTCAAGATTCAGAGAACAAAATTCCATAAATTTGAGCTGACAAATCTTCCTCTGAAGCGAGAGCGAAAGTGTTCAAGTTAACATGCAAATTAGTTTGGCAGACGGTTCAGATGCGAGGGACCACCAGGCAAGGACCTCGATGCCGAACAGCGGTCGAAATTCAAACGCYTCGCATCGCGCTAAATCTTCCTAAATCTCACCCAAAAATATCCCGATGGATAATTTATTAAATKTTTCAAAGTTCTGAGTGGTTTTGAGCGAAGGATTTGCTGTAACTTTCGAAAGCGAACGCTTTTAAGTTAACATGCAAATGAGAGCGTAAAGCAGCGGGGCGTGAGGAGAGTGATATTTCAACTGGACAAGTGTACTCGTGCTTTGTGACACACACTAAATTCAAATGAACTCATTTTCGCGTGCTTTCAAGCGATCTTTTTCATCCAAACCCCAAACATTTCATATCCAAAGGTTTCTCAGTTCTTCCAAGATTGTTCCGATAATTGATATTCTGACCTTTTTGCAGCTGGGGAAACAGTTTTGGGTGTACGACATGAATTTGCCCTTCTCGAATCTCTCTTGCTTCGTTTCTCGGCGTCGCCTCCTGACTCACGGTTTGACTGTGAGCTGGTAGAAGCGGCAGATGACATTGTGGGATGTATATCTGAAATTCAAGAGAGAAAACAAAACATACCAAAATGACTACTTACTACAGGTTTAGTACAATGTGTAGTTGACATTGTGAGAGGTATTTCAGAGTGWTGAGGGGATCGAATTGACTCTATTGGTTAAACTTTGGTGAATGATTACTTGGCTTACAAAAGCAAATAATTCGCATATTGAATCAACTAGACCTTGACCAAAGCACGCTTGCAGTATGAGAGAGAAATAAATGCAAAAATTCTGAACAGTCTGGTCGGTATGAGTGATTCGGTCAACATGAGTCCCCTCACATCAGGCAAATATGGCGGCCCCTAACCAGCATAATCAGAAGCGCCCACATTTTGCCTCAACCCGTTGCGTGTAAAATACATCACTAACTACCACAATTACTATACCTACATGAAGTTTGTAATGTAGACGATATAAACCCGGAGGTWTCTGGACGATTTGGACTAATTAATGGCTCGTGCTCACAATTTGAAGTTAAGAACTGAGTGAGCTTGGTCGCTCGGCACACAGCATTTCAAAGGCTTCGTGTGGCTGTCAAAACGGCTTGTCACCAGTCTCAACCAGTCCTCACTTCTTAATTATACCTAACACAAAAGCACAATTATTCGATCAAGAGAATTGCTAAAGTCTCCAATCAGGGAAAGATCAAGGTTATATTCAATCGATTTACAACTGGGTGATATCTTGGCGTTGTGCTGAGGTGAAATTGCCTAGTATCAATYYAATTCAAGTTTTTGTTAACCACTCGTAGAGGTCCTAAAAAATAGCAGCCCCCGGAGAGATGTGGTTTGCGGTCACAGCAACAATTTCACTCATTTAAAACGAAAGCATTTTAGAGGCAATAGAAATAATAACAGAATTACTCGATGTCGGGACATTATTTTGCTACACCCTTTAGTGAATAAGAAGCGTTTTGTTGGAAATCGCAACATTGATCTCTAACCGAACGGCGATAACAATTTTTGTCTTGCGGTGGCGATTTGTAAGTTTGGCTTCACACGGAACCACGTATGCTTTTAAATAAGCAATGATTTTCACAGCAAGTTAAACTAACCCTCTTGAGATCATACAAAAAAAACTGATGAATAAATGATTAAGTAAAATAAAATGAAGAACCATCAGTGTTAGCAATCGATATTTGAGAAGCTTAATTTATACATTCAACAATCCGCATCCTTCTTACTTTGCATCTGATCCATATCAGTTTCCGCATTTTAGTTCATTATTGCAAATATTCCCCGATCAAGCACTACGACATAAATATCTATGTATATCTATTTGTATATATGGTTTATCAGGAAAATTACTTGCGTCTAAACTACTCGTCAATATAACTTTCACCGCGCACTGGAGCAAAACATTTGTCCTAAATAGGAGAAAATTGGGCATTGCATTTAAAGTGTTCAAGMCGCAGTTTTCTTTTCATTTCAGTTAATATTCAGTTTAGAAAAAAAACGGTGTTATGTTAATAATATTCGGTTTAAGTCAAACAATATACCAAAACCTGAATTATCGGTTTATTTTGTTTGAGTATTGAACTGGTGCTACAAGTGCCCCAGAAGCAATCTAAAAACGAAACTCAAACTGGATCTCGCTTGTTCGTGTTCATAAAAAGTCATTTTCTTGTATAAATATGCTTTGCATTCGTGTTTGCACTTAGCGATGTTATTATTTGAATATGCCATTGAGCCACAATAGAAGAGTAACTGGCCTAATCAGTCTGGGCTGTTGTACGGACGCAGTGARCTATGTATTACTTTATTTCCTCRGACTGATATATTCAGTTTAAGTTTTCTTTAGCTGTACAGGAAATGATTAGCTGGTTTGTCAAATGAAAGTTAATACTGCGGACAKTATTGACTCGTCATGATTATTCATTTTCGAAATAAATGAGGAGCAAACCGGGAAGGAGACTTCGCGCAGCGAGATGCAGTAAAAGAACCAGAATTACTGAAAGAAAATGAATAATATTCCAAAAGAATAAGAGTCCATGAGTCAAGTGGWTGGCCTGTAGAATCCTTCTAAGTACCGTAGCCTCTTAAGCATTAACTGATTGCCATAGCTAGATCACAGAGTAAACACTGGAATCGTTTCAACTCTACTGTGAAGATGAAATGAAATGAGATGCACCTAGAGTTTATTTCTTAAATATGAGAACTATATTCAATATTACAATCTTTTTCCACCCCCGTTGGGCTCTGTTCAGGGTGAAGATTAATAATCTTAGATTTCAAATGACTTCCAGTGCCAGTCAGGAACTGATATGAATTTGTCAGTACCCTAGTGTAGTAGTTTCGATACGTTTTGGGAATGTGGATTGCCCTTTGAAAAGCTATCTGTATTTCGATCACTATCGGGATGTTAGGATGGCTTGCCTTTTAGYATTACTGATCAAAAGATCCATTGACTTAATCTTCGGCGACGGAACAATTTCAGCTAAAAATCTAGGCAGCAAAGCAACTGTGATCATAAATATCGATGCAGTCATTTAATTCGAATATAGTTATTAAGCATGTTTTTTTCTRAAATCGAATCCAGACAAATCAGAAAAACTATAGCTAGTTTTTGGTGTTAATCAATCGACACCACTGGTATTAATTGTTTAATTCTCAAGGGAATACAGCTAACACTGGACCGAATACCTCTTGTGATCATAAGAGGACTGGTAACAAGCAACGGAGCACAMATCGCAGAGCATCAAGCCGAGATATTTACTCGGATTTTTCTTCCTTTTACTGTCGCTTGTTTTATATTGTGGAACATCAGTCTTTAGGCTTATATATCAAGAAAWTTTTCGAACTACATGTGAGTATATTTATCTGGTTATAATCCTCGTTTCAATTAATGTTGAAAGCCGCAAGAGTTCGTCCTTAGCCGGCCATATTATGAAAATGTTGGCGTTGATATTACAAAGTTTAGATGTTACTTAGATAGTTAAGATGTTGATTGGCACTTATTTATAAGAAAAATTTAAACCTCTTTGATTTATGGCATCGTGGCTTTACCAAATGAAATGAACTGTCATTTCGACCCGGCGTTGAGCGACAGTTTTGAGTTCAGTTCGCCAAATTCATGCAAAAAAAAACCTCGCTTTATTGAACTGGCTGTTTTACAAAGGATAGGACATCAAGTATAATGTCTATCTTGTGTTTCCAGTGTTTTTCAAGGTTGTACATATGTCATCTAGAAATACTCAGCCTGTCGAAGACAGGACTCCGGAAGGAACCAGTCGGCCATTGCCGGCCAAGAAAGACACGCGGAAACACGGCACCTCACAACGATTTACTTCAAGAAGTGTCTCTACGGCGTCTAAAAGGTTGAATTTCTTGTTTATGTGGTGGTTATTGTCTAGTTCTATGCATTGCTCTAACAGCACGACCAAGAAGAGTCAAGCATCACGCCTCGTAAACCTCATTTGCATATTAAGTTTGCGAAGCTTGTACTCGCTTACAATCGAACATCTCTCAAATTCGATCCCGTCAAAGCTTAGAACACAAAGCCAAATTTCATTTTTGCTTYGTTTTGGTTTAATTTRKGAGCTTTTTTGAACATTCCATGAAGCTTATAACGTAACTGCTATCTTCAACTCACAAGCCTTTAGAGCGAATTTGCATTAAGTTAATTGAATTGTTTCGCTYGGAAGCACACACACATTAAGTCCGTCAAGAAACACGCTCGCTTTCCAGGTTGCTATATTGTTTACAATAGAATTATAAAGTATGACCTTTGAAACATGACTTGTAGGGTTTTTTTTAGCAGAAATAGAATTATAAAAAAATCATCCAACATTACCGTAGCAACCACTTGCGCTAATTATTGATTATAATATGTTTTAATTCAGAATACAGAAGGAATTAGCAGCTATCACACTGGATCCTCCTCCAAACTGTAGGTAAACAAAAGCCATCTAATCCTTCTTGAAATCATTGGTGTTCAACTTATACATACAAGCAGTGTTGCTACAAATATCAAAATGGTTCTCGAATAAATTTCTTTCTTGTTCCTTTGAAAAACATAAAAACACAGGGAATGTTGCTGCAATAGTTTTTGTCCTCTTTGTTAGATATCTCCGAGATATTTTTTCAGCTGTCTGCACTGGCTGTATTTTGCTTCATCGGTTTCCGGATAAAAACAGTRTATCTATTGACAAGTTGTTTTTCCCAAGTCCAAAATTGATTTCTCGTCTAAAAAGTGTTCCATTATTTTAAAGATATTGCAAACATTCAGCATAAAGATTTAAATGTGGACAAATATACTACGTGATCCGTGTTATAGTTTTGTCATGTGTCACTCTTGGCGGATAATCTCTTTTTTGTTATCTTCAGCAATTAATAATTCATAGTACATTTATTATTAAATACAAGCTTAAACGGGCATTAAAATGTTTTAAATCTTGAACAAGTTACAAATGACTGGATGAATTTCGACGRAAATGTTTTGAATTAGATTAATATTATTGTTTAGACTCATATTTTGATCTTTGAATTCTAGAGATTTTGATTATTTTTTGATTCTTTAAATCAATTCTTCTTAATTCTTCTTTTTTCACATGAATTCTTTTGATTAGATGTTGTTGTTTTTTTTTACTTAGTGCTGGTCCAAAAGGCGATGATATATACGAATGGTATGCAACAATTCTAGGTCCACCMGGKTCTGTGTATGAAAARGGAGTTTTCTTTCTTGATATTCATTTTCCTCCAGACTATCCCTTCAAACCTCCAAAAGTAAGTTTAATTCCATATTTKATTTATTTTTTATTGTTTGTATAAACAAATCCCTTGTCCTCATTTAGTTAATCATATAAAGTTGTTTGTATAATTGTTTTTTTTTAAGTTGTTTATATAATTGATATCATTAATCAAAACTTTTGAAGTGGGCTGGAGTTTCATTATAATTCCAGAAATATATTACAAACTTAACCTCACTTTTCTGTGAATCTTAGAAGTCTTGAAATATAAATTGTATTTCAATATATTGTAAGTAAATAGAGTGAAGTCATTTAAAAATCTGTGAAACAAAATTTGACTATTAAAGTGTGATAGTCAAATAGACACAAAAGAGAACAATACAATTAAAGCGTACTAAGGTCTATTAGTGTAATAYCTATTTCAAGGTTTCTTTGACTTCACTCTATTTGGATAATTTACAAGAAGCAGTTGTGAAATAAAATCATTTTAAATTATACCACTTTCTCTGTTTTTATTTACTAATAAATAAATTTAGCACACATTTAGTGCTTGTTAACTCCAGAAAGTGCTTTATATATATATATTTACTTCCATATAAGTTATTTCTATATTCTTTTTTCTCAAGGTCACATTTAGAACTCGAATCTACCACTGTAACATCAACAGCAAAGTAAGTGATAAAATTGCACTCATCTATTTTCTKTGGGCATAGTGTATTAGTGTATTAATTATTTTCGATTAATTTTTGTTTAGATATCAATTATGATAAAGACATTTAATGAATGAACATCTACAATAAATCAGGAATTTCCCAAAGGGGGTCACCTACCCCCTGGCTACCCCCTGTCATGCCCCTATACAAGCTAAAGATCGAACTTGCTATCTTATCTAACTATTGATCTCTTTTTCAGGGTGTTATCTGCATAGATATCTTGAAAGATGGCTGGAGTCCTGCTCTAACAATGAGCAAAGTTTTATTATCAATTCGATCGCTGCTGTCAGATTGTAATCCAGGTATGTGTTCTGGAGTCATGTGATGTAATACATAACGTAGATATGAAAGCTTGTCCCATTCAAACTGGAAGATTTGGGAGGTAATTTATGGGGTAATTTACTTTCTATAGGGGAGGGGTAACACTCGCGAATTTAAGAGCGTTTMGAGGGTGCTACAAGTTCAGACCAGGAAAACTGATGAGATTTCAAAACTTTTAAATCACGAATCGGTTTTTCTTGAATAAAGGCCAATGAAAGATTATAACACTTTTTTTGTCTGTTTATTGCAGATGATCCTCTGGTTGGTAGCATAGCAACGGAATACTTACAAAATAAAGAACAACATGATAAAACAGCAAGAGAATGGACCAATCGATATGCCACATAAAAAATACTTGTCAGAAGTCAAGAACTGTACATATTTCGTATACATATACATTTCTATATCAATAGTTACACAATATTGGGATATAAAGATRCTCAAAGATTTTTTTGTGCAACGCAGGGATAATTTAACTTACATTCACAGCGAATGAATTATTTAATATTTATTTTTAATTTTATCAATCAATTGTAATGAAATTACAGCAAACAAATATYAAGTGTCGATTTGTGTATTGTCGAAGCTGAGTAGACTTCCTCAGCAAATGTTTCTTTATCAAAAAGGCCGTTTKCGAAAAAGAATACAAGAGTTTTTTGTCATATATTACTATTTCACAAAACAGAATTAGTTACGGTTTGTAGTTTTTATCGCTATTGAAAAAAACTTTAATAAAATAGACATTTACTTCCTTCTTTAGATATATGTTTTGTTTTTGATTGTTTTTTTCTAAACTGCGATGACGTGGAGAGTTCCTAGAAAGTTTTTTTTTTCTAATATGACTTTCAAGTTCGATTAGTTCATGCCGGTTCATTTCTTCCAAAACCTCGTAACTCCATACAAGACTTCAATCACTTGTTTGGGATATTTTCGGAGGATTAACTAGAATAAAGTGTAATATAATAGGTGTTTGCCTAGTGTCCACATCATAGTATAAATAAATTTTCTTAAGTTCCTTTTCTTTAACTGAGCACGTACGAGGAGCGAACTGCAGCAATGTTTTGAATAATGGCTTATGTTGTATAAGCTGCTGTTTGTTGACATTTTCACACCTAATGAGAAGAGGTTATCATAAGAGACAAGACTCTAATCCAAACAAATYACTCACAACAATAGTCTTTTGAAATCTTGCATCCAATTACCATTAATAGTAATAGCAGAGATTTACAGTAAATCATTCAGGCATTCATATACGAAACACTTGAATTTCTGGACAAATGAAGAGTTATACGCATAAGAGAGAGAAAAATTCAACATTTTCGACTTTGAAAAGATTAATTGAGTACACGAAGGGCAAAGAAAATACTCGGTTACGTAAGTTTATGTTTACAGGAGTCCATTCAAGCATACCTACCATCATAGCGTTAAAAATTGTGAAACTTCTCTTCTGTTATTTGAAATGGAATTTTGACAAGACGGAAATACAAGAATTGACTACTATTTTACGGTTGAATACTTGATGTGCTCATTGAAGTCTGTAAAGATATATTGTTGTATTGGATATAAATGGAAGCGTTTTGTGTTAATATCAAACGTGAAAAAAATTTTCGTCATAAATTTAATAATCGGATGACTCAAAGTACTTTATTTGTACAGCCGATAGCTTGTCTGCTCCGTGGATATACGAATCGAATCCAGTCTGGATGGAAGGCCCTTTCCAGCCGCACAGAAAATATCCATAACAAACAACTGCAGCTGYTCGAAGGTTATAGTCATTACCAATTCAAGAGCCATCGCATCGTGATTGGTTAGAAGTAAGAGAATTATCGTAGTAGGAAAAATTAGAGTTTTAAAATAGACGTCACTTAAAACTCCGTGACGTCACCTATGGACATGCGAACTTGACACCTTATGTCCACACTTCACTACTGCCTGGCGCTTAGCGGCCAAGCTATCCTGTTCCTTAACTTCCAACTCTCCGACCTCCTTAATTACCAGAGAAATCCAGCCAAATTTGAAGTGGAATTATTCTTCATTTCAAGATCAATCTTCAGGTATAAATTTTGACAAGATTGTTTGCGAAGTAGTTGAAAACCCAGGGTTAGAAGGTAGCCAACTAGRCCAATCTTGACTTGATATTGTATGGTTTTACTTAATATCAGAATTCTTCATATAGCTTTGACTAGTGGGGGTTCATTTCTGGTGCTTCTTGGCGTATAAGAGTTAGTTTAGGATCTGTGATTGTGATGGGGAGTTTGAAAGCAAGCCGCTACATTCAGGTCTAGACAGGACGGCTTCCCCTACTTTAGAAAGGCTCTTTACTGGTGCTTTTGTAATCAATTTTACCTTAGAATTGCATGTATATACAGTGTTTAATWTATCATTTATCTCTAAGAGAATAAACCATGTCGAGTTCAGAATCTACTGGTCACCCTCAAACCACCACTGAGGAGTCGTCTCCTTCAAGAAGGAACAAGAGAGAGTCAAGAAGCTCATCATCAAGATTCGCGAAAACCGTTTGTACCGCTGCTAAAAGGTACTAAAGTTTTTTTCCTGATTCTCGAAGAGTGTTTGACGCGTCACTTGCTCAATAAACCACAGCAGTGACAGAGGGAATACGACATAAGAGCAGTGTGTGAGTGAGTGAGTAGGTTTGCTTGCTTGACAGCTAGCACTCAAAGGCCCCTGACATCCGTAGAAAATACATCTCAAATAAACGACGTAATGGCAAGGCATATGTCAAATGTTGTATTGTCTATGGAAAAAGAAAACAAACTAAATATTGTAGTAAAACAAACTTTTGGTTTTACTTCCAGCTTTTTGCGGTTGAATGGCCACTGTATAATATATCAAATTGTTTGGGGATCCCCTCGGGCGCTCATTTGTGGCCAATTTTTTAAAAATCTGTCTGACTYAGTGAAATAATGTGATGCACTTTTAAAATCTAGGATTCAAAAAGAACTCGCTGAAATAGCGTTGGACCCGCCGCCAAAYTGCAGGTAAGACCAGCGAAAAGCGGATCTATTATGGCGAGCTTCGATGCGGRGACAAATGATTTAAAAATAGGTTTCTACCATATAGCACAATATAACGCGAGACTAGTTTTTATTCTTCAACTACTCAACAAAAGACTTACGGGTTCTTTGTTCCAGTGCTTATCAACATTGTTTATAAATGAAGGCCAACKTTTCAAGTAAAATTTATCACTTTAAAATTATACTTCGCATATGGCTATCAAAGGTTTGATAATTTACTATAGTATAAACCTGCCARTCAAAATCCAGACGACATTTGCGTGGCGATTGTTCACCGAGTTACACACCACGTGGACCATCGTCAACATCACCTAATGATGAATGAAGGCGACTYTCTCGTTAAATATAGCACCAAGTTGATATTTTATATTGTCAATCAAGGAAAAAATACAAGATCAGAATTTCTGCKTGTTCGTCATGAAACAAATAGACAACGAATGTTKACACTATAARTGCGGATGTTCACTATAACCTACCCGTCGTTTTTTAACACTATCTTTTATTTAATGTCTTTTCTTTTGCCATCCAGAGATCGCTACCTGTCATWTTATAGATCACTGTTTTTAAATCATCTGGSATGTTGAAGGCCTTGGTACCTTAAAGATATTAAAACGGCTGAATTACAGTGATAATGGCCAAYCTGCCTATATTAGATTTGATTTGCTGAATCCGTGATCGTATTAAATGAGAAGACTAAATAGTATCATTTATATATATAAACTTCAATGACCTTTCAGGTGATCTCCCCGCTGGAAACAATGCCCAGGCATCACGTCGGAAATTTTTGTATCTGCAACCTTTGTTAATTTTCAATTTCTTTCCTTTTTGTTCTTTTCATTTCATTTCTTTGTTTTCCTTTATTTCTTGTTTTTTGTTTGTTTGTTTTTCGTTTCGCGTCTTTATTAAAGTATTTCAGCTAGTSATTTCCCCAACTTGTACAGATTACGATCTTCAGTATTATTTTCGTAAAACGAYAATTCGTGAATACAGATCATCAATACATGTGATCGGTGCTAATAATTATGCGTTTGCCATACGCTAAACTTAATAATAACAAGAGTATTGCAAGCGCTRCAAGATGCGCTGGCTTGCCAGATAAGACTAACTCGAACTGATAAAATCATTTTACTGCGAAAACGAAAATTTAATGGAATTGTTAGTCTTAATTCTGTCATTAGATGTATTAACTGCTAAGGATTGCGATAATTGAAACATTAATGGTTAATAATTGATGAAATTATTTTCTGAACTGCGGTGAACAAATGTAAATGAAGGAATTAGGTTTTTCGCAGTGAAATAATAATAATCAAATTGATTATTAATAGAATKGATCGCTCGAAAGYATTTCGGGCTTCAACGGATCGTAATTCCTTACGATTAATAATTGGTTGATAATATCTTTTGTATATATCATGTGTAGAGTGAAATCATTTAAGACTCGGTAAACAAAATTGGCTTAATATTAAAGTGTACCTTTTAGTCAAATGGACACAAAAGAAGACAACGCATTAGACCGTACTAAGGTGTATTAGTGTAATTTCTATTTCATGAGTTTTTGACTTCACTCTTGTATAAAGTTATCATTGTCATTTTTAATATCATTATGGTAATGATGATGGTGATAAGTATTATTATTATTAATAGTTTCTAGGGTTATTTTCAGTAAGGAAGCTTTCCATTTGGTCAGAWCTGGTTGGCAAAACCGATCTATAATGATTAGTGGATTGAATTTAGAGATTGATTCTTCTGTTGTAACAGTCATTATTGATAATGAACTAGACTTCCCTTTGATTCTGTCCAGTTATAGCTCTGRCAAATGGAAAGCGCCCAAAGAACCTTATCTATCGTATGAAAATAGTTGCTTTTTTATGTTTTTAATTGTATCCTCTCTTTACGAAGATTACTATTTTTGCTCATGGCATTTTTGTCGAATATATCTATAAGTCACCATGACAACCTACTTGGCCACCAGCAATGCTGACAGAACTTATTGAGCGGCCTAAACCTTTCCGGTCCTTCCCGCCKTATTTCCTAAAGTAGTCATCTCTGACTCAATTATTAGGCAATACGTATCTTTTAAGATACGTAAAAAAACCTCTTTGAGACAAAATCAATAGCCAACTCTATGGTTACTCACGTTACATTGGTGAAAAGCTCACACTAATTATTTTCTCGCTCTACTGCAGTGCTGGGCCAAAGAAAGATGACATCTACGAGTGGAACGCAACGATTCTAGGTCCACCAGGGTCTGTGTATGAAAAAGGAGTTTTCTTTCTTGAYATTCATTTTCCTCCAGACTATCCCTTCAAACCTCCAAAGGTAGGCTACGAAATAGTCTTGTAGAGCCTTAATCTAACCTTCCTAAACACATTTTTTCCTTAAAATAAATGTAGCCTCCAAATATTAAGTTTATTTCAAATCTAGGCGATTATTAGTCTCCTCGCAGCCGTTCTTAGTGGTGGGCTCCCCGCGGGGGACAGGGAGCCCGCCACTAAGAACGGCTGCGAGGAGACTAGGCGATTATCAATATATTTTTTGAAGCGCTAGGTTGCTTTTTTTATTTTTCCCTTTTCTTGTCAAAGTGTAAGAAAAACTGGGTTGTTGTCTCAACCTCGTGATTTGACGAGAAAATTACTCTGAAACTAAATTATGCGATGGCATTGTCGATTAAACAATTAAAACAACAATGCAGATTTATGACCTAKGGAAAAACATATCTTTATCAGTGAATAACACTTGTTTTTACCAACAGGTTACCTTTCGAACAAGAATATACCACTGCAATATCAATAGCCAGGTAATATTTATGGTACTATCGAGGACTGGGTTTCCTGTGGCAAAAGAAACACAGGAAGCCCAAAATAGAAATTCCTCAACTTTGTTTTCAGGGCTTCGCTAACCCAAGGAAAACATCCTTTTGTCTCAGACTGGTTTTCCTRGGTAACCTGATAATTGCGCATGGTTTTGAGTCTTATTTCCTCTTGTTGACACGCTCTTGACGTCACGAGTGGGTTTACTGAAACGTTTTGRACATTTTATGACGTCAGAGGTTTGTCAATAAGAGGACATTMAACTCAAAAYCGTGTGTYTTTAATCTRAAATATTTCATCTTTCATCCTKTAGGGTGTAATTTGTCTTGATATTCTTAAAGATAGCTGGAGTCCTGCTCTAACGATATCAAAGGTTTTACTTTCAATTCGTTCGCTTCTTACAGACTG